ATTCGTAAGACTTCAGGGAGAATTTTCATCTACAACCTTTTTGCTCCAAATTGTACAAAGTTTTTCTAACAGAAATCTCTTCAGCTTGTAGATATCCATATGCACCCTATTTCGCATTGCTAATCCACAGGTGCTGCACAGATTTAGGCTCATTAACATGTGGTATTGTGGCTAACATCCTTTAACTGATCACATTTGACTATCCCTTCAATGTTGAGACTTTGGCACCCTTGGAATCTCTAAGGTACAGAGACAGATCTTGTTTTTAAATTGAAGCTGGAGAATGTAGTTATCAGCCTTAAAGAGTAGCTAACATTTCCCAACCCAAAAATCTCTTTTAATTATCATACATCCAGTAGTTCAAATACACTGTTTATAAGAACTAAATGAATTGTGTTAATACTGTGTAACATTGTTTCTCAAACTCTTACAGTGTTTTCTTCCCAGCCTCTTCTATCTCTGAGATTTCAATTTTGTACTTTTTTTTTATTAACAGTGGATCAGTCCAATTTGCTGTTCCTGTTTTGGATTTTTTTCAAGGGAAGGTGTGGAATAAAAACCTGAAAAATATCTTATTTCACAGCTTTTCCCCTTTTATTTCCTGACCAAGATGATTTTTTAGTAATATTACTGTACAAGAAATATGTTTAAACCATCAACATTTGATGAGGCTGGATGTGCCTTTCTCAATAGACTGCAGACTGGTGGGGCCATGTGAGAAGATAAGCAACCTTTCATCCCTGACTCTATATACTCCTTACACAGAGTGTTAAACTAAAGCCATAATTATATTTTCTTCTCTGCAACTGACATGGGAACATTTTACCACTGGTGTCCTGCTAAACAATATCAATCCAATAAATTAAGGTAGTTGTTTTGCTTATATTACTAGTTGAGAACAAAATTTTCTGAAAATGAAAGCAAGCTTATTCTTATAAAAATACACTGAAGCATTCCACAAAGAGATAGGTGAATTCATCTTGCCCAACAGACTGTTTAAATGAAAAAAAAGACCCTTTACTAACAGGATTTTATTTTGGAGGGTAGGTTTCATCTCTTCTATTCAGGTATAATACATCAGTCATCTTATGAAGCCTGAATAAGGAACTCCATTTTATTTTTTCAGCTGACCAAACATGAACTGGTTAATTCCAGCTTTTTTTGAAGGTGATTCCAGCATACAAGTTCCTCAATACAGCAGACAGTATTAAATGCTGTCACTTTTTGCTGAATGTCCTGCTAAGACAAACAAAATATACTCCAGCTAAATTGGGGCATTTCATTGTTGAGCTCCTCTCGGCAGACTCTAGTGAGCAGATCGGTAGGCCAGCTCTCACAGGAAACCCTTCCTCTGACCTGTCCCACTCCCACTCAGCTCTCCTGAGAAGAACACCAGCTACTAATGCACTTTGAGGTCAAAGCGTGATCTGACAGTCAAGTGCCATTAGTCCAAATTCATGACCTAGTCATTAAGATGTTTTTAAACGTGTCTTTGCATGAAAACGGAGTGTTTCAGTGCCATGTACATACTTTAACTGATTTGCCTTCTGTTTAGCAAAGACTATAATGCTATTTACTGTGTGCTGCTGTCATTTTACCAAGATGATCGAAGGGCTGGCATCTTTCAGATCAGGTTCCCATTTATAACTGTTACAAACACAAAAGAGATATTTTTGTTCAGAAAAGTAAGCAACAAGACCATAAAGTTCCATTTGCAGAACTTTAAACAGATCTGCCCAGCTGTTAGAAGCAATTATTTTGAATTATTTTTCTCTTGCAAAGACAACTCTTTTAGTGATTTTTAACAAAATCAATTTATTTTCTTCCTTCACAGACTCCACATTCTTCAGCTGAGATATCCCTAGCTTAAGGCCTTTCAAAGCCAAACTGCTAGGAAAGATGAGCTCAGTATTCCCTGAAGTGCAGAACAGCTGCACAGAAAAAAACAAAAAAAGAAGGAAAACTGTATTTTCAAGTGCCAAAGATTATTTCTTTTTAAATTACTTTCTGTGTTACCTAACAAGATGACTGTAACTTTTTCTGTGCACAACTTAATTTTGACTCTTTTTCATTGGCTTTAATGTATTTTGTACATGTATGTTATAACTTACTACTCTGATGCATTACTGGAGAGTTCCTTAAGCCATGTGTTTCCACCACTTCAGAGCCGATATTCACAGTGTGTGAGTTCAGTGTCTTTTATACATTTTTGACTATCATTAGATTCCTCACAAATAGTCAGTTTTCAAAAAAAAAAAAAAAATAAAATTATACTGTCTTTCACCAAAACTGTAGTGGACCTGATGATAAAGAACTACTGAGGGAAAATATCTCCTTATGCTAAATTGTTTCCAATTCTCTACCTGTGGCCATGCATTTCCTCATTGTTCTTTGTCTATTACTACCCATGATCATGTGCCAAAACAGAAGATATGAGTGGGTTCCTGCTCTTCACAAGTCTTTGCTTTTTGGCTAGCCTTACTAAGAAGTATTTTTGTATCTGTTCCTTTGCTTATTTTTCATTTTCATTCTCAGTATGACTAATAGAGTATTGACCAATGCCACATATTTAACTATGATGTAACAATGTTCATGAAACACACTTGTGACACAATATTACATATTTTCTGAAGTAGGACATGAACTTGAGAGGAGAGAGGATATAAAAAGTATTTGTATCCGAGAAGGGCCTACAAGGAGAGCAGTGCACTGAAACCAGTCAGGGATCAAAGCTCATTCTGCACCTTCCAAAAAAATACTACTGCTCTCCTTTTTTGGAATGCATACAAGCTGAAGTTTTGATTCAGTGTGCTCTAAAAATTACACCCTTATCTGTTCATTTACATTACAATTTCTTCCATTGCAATTCTAAGATTAATTGCTCCTGTGCAGGTCCCATAACTCCTCCTATTTCTTCTTGTTTAACTTGGACCAAAATATTCTGACCTCCACCAAACCTCATTAGCACTTCTTTAGCAATGTTCTCCAGTTATAGCCTATTTGTTATGACCAAGACAAAACCGCAAATTAATTTCAGAAAAAAAAAATTGGAACCTTTTGATTAAACTACTTTCTCAAACCTTTTTGCTCAATAGCAAAGACACAAAAGGATGAGGGATGAGCATCAGGGTCAGTTAATTTAATGGTAGCGTCAAAAATGAGAAATGGGCACAGCAGGCTCTGTTATGTTTTTCCAGGTTACTGCTTTAGAAAAGCTCATCTTTTTTCTTCCAAAACTAAAACTCCCAACTTCAACAGAAAAAGAGGTCTTAGAGTCTTAGGCCTTCTGTTCAGTTGTCAAAGCTTGCTGCAAGCCTTTATAGAGAAAGAATTGTGAACAAAATAAATTGGGTACTATTACAAAGCTGAAAACTTTTTTTAAGGGGTCACATATTTCCATTTTTCTTTATTGAAAAATAAACAATTGAACAAAGAGGAGACCTCAGCAAACACTTTTTAAAGAATAGCAATTAACGCTTTGGTGGTTATCAGTAATGAGTCAACATTTCCTTAAGAAAAAATGCTACCTGCAACTACAATTAATTGTAATCTATGTCATATATATATAGGGCACAACCCAGATATCCCTGCAAACGGAAATGTGTAGGTGACCCCACCCCTGCAGAGACCCAATTGCTCCTGGGGATCCATTCACCCACACTCATCCAGTTAGGGGGCTGTGCTTGAATGTGCTGCTCTATAACAGACAACCAGAACTATCTCCTGTATTTCATCTCACAACATGCTGACAAACATCCACATAAATGTTCAGATTTAAATCTAACTAGAATAAATCAAACCCAAAGCCATAATGAAATGCCCAGTTATGATCCCTGTAGTTGCTTAATTTTTTAGACTTGCCTCTGTATTTTGGCATTGTGTTCACTAACTTCTAAAAAAAGCACCTATTTCTATATACATGACAAATACTCTTTTTACAACATCAAATATTTCATTTACACCGTTTTAGAGCCAACATTTTGATTAGCATCAAGACTATGGAAAAACCATGTGGACTTTAAGAAATCTAGATTATAAACTCTGTCATAGCCAAACATCAATAACATCTACTTTTCAAATACCTATTTTAAAAACTATTTGGCTAAATTTAATTAAGGCATTTATTTCAGAGGAATGTGCTGGATCGTATTTGAGAAAACAGTATTTTTAAAATTGTTACCAAGTTTTGTATCCAATTCCTTTTTTTTGTCCTGACTGTTGGTTTTATCAGCTAATTCAAATAAAAGCCAAACTACAGAAAGACAGGTATACCTCAAAGGGACACAGTGCCCATGTCTCAAAGAAATGAGTTAGTGTTCTGTCAGTAGCATGGCTCCAACTAAACTATTTCCATGTATGACATATTGAGGCTTTGAAAGAAAAAGTGACCAGGTAGAAACCACACAGTATTTTCTTTCCTTCAGCTTCAGTTTAAGAAGTACCTCAGAGCCGTTTCATTTACCCTCTATCAGACATTAAGACTCACACTTCCCTCCTGAGAAGGTTAGCATTAGAGGCAGAACCCTCAAGAAGCAGAAGATTGGTTACAATGCAGAGAAAACTGATCTCAGGCTGAGCACTCAGGAGCACACACAGATTAATTCCATGAAGCCTCAGCCATTGCTGCACTGCACGGGAGGGCCAGCACAAGCAAGGTACAGTACCTGTCATCTTGTCCCAGATCCTCACTGTCTGGCATTTCAGATGTAAAAGAGAATTCTCTGTCTCTCTCTACCAATCTAGATAATCCAGGCAATGATCTTCTAGTCTGTTTTATGTTTTAGGAGCCACCAGCCAGGCACCTGTGCTGCTCACTGCCAGGAAGAATGCTCCTTGCTCAGAGAGCAGATGTTTACAAGACATCCTAAGTGCTGCTGGTCTTGAATGAAGTTCAGAGCGGTGGGCTTTGATTGGCCGTGGCTATAAATAAACAAGTCGTGACTCACCTCACACACTATGACAGGGTGTTTAGTAGCAAGCAGAGTCAACAGCCAAAGTTTGTTTTCCTTCTGGTCATGTGAGGCAGAATCACCACCCACTTACTACTTTTATTTTTCTGTTTCTACTGAAAATCTTCTTCAATATCTCCCATTTTTCTCAGGTGTAAGCAGCAACCAAAATGATGTGAAGCTAAATCATTCTAATAAAAGTTAAAGACTTAAAAATATGATAGCAAAGAGATTACTGTTAAAAGTATAAACTATTAACTAGAAAAAAAAATATAAACTACAAACTATTAAAATATCCTTTTTTCCTCCCTGCGAAGCATCAGTCAAAAGCTGACAGAAGAAGCCAAATTATTCTCCAATGTCTAAATTCACAGATTAAAAAAATCAAAAAGAACTTAGTAATTCTTTTAAATAAGAAACAGGAAGACAAGTTTTCCATAATGATTAATTGCATTGCTTTTAAATTCTGATTCCAAGCTCATCTGCCACAACTAATCTTAGATAGGAACACCAGAACACTGTGCTGAAAGAATCCTCAAAAACTAAAGTATGATGGCAGGAGGAGGCTATCTGCCAAAATACTTTGATTACTTCCATGAAGGCGAATTGAATATGGATTTCCTCCTATGGCTTTTCCTCCTATTGCTGCATGCATGACAAGGATTCTGCCACATCAGCTACACCAGCTATGTGTCTATTAATTTTCAACACCCCCGCAACCTTATCTGTGGAGCTCTGTCACACAGTCCAAGACTCCAAGGATTCCATATGTCTGTCATTCAGCACGTGGCTCAGCACTGCTCCTTCACGCAGCTTCCTTCCTTCATTGAACAGGTTGACCTGTTGTTCTTAATATATTTTCAAATATATATTTTCAAATCCATATTACATTCAGAGATCTTCACATAAGAAATCTCTTTTTCTAGGAAGGAACCCAGCAAGATTTACACCTGCCTGTCCTTCATGAGACGGTAAGAATTGTCCTGCGGCTGTCACACGTTAAAAATAAATGAAAAAAAATATAAGCAAAGCTGGAAAAAAGGTATGCCCTATATCTTTGATTTGCTAAGCTATATATGGTGCATTGTGAGTAATACATAATTTCTGGAAAACTGCTTAACTTTTAGAATTATGAAGAATTCTACCCTTTCTTCTTTTTTCATATAAATTTCTTCAAAAGGACTAGTAAGATCTAAAAAAACAGGAGTAAAGTCCTCTGACAAAACCATGCAATTCAATATATAAATAAGCATTAATAAATATCCTGCTTACAACTGAGACTTTCCATGGCCACTGATATCTGTATATTCCAATGTAATCTTTCCTTTCCTTTCCTTTCCTCTTTTTCTTCTGATAGTAATAGATGAAATAATTATGAGTTGAATTTCTTCAAGCTTACCCTGAAACAACAGAGCTGCTAAATTCAAAAATCTTAACTAATGAAAATGATTCTGTGTAACAGTTTCACCTTCAGATCAAAGTTGTGATGTCTTCTAATTAGGAAATGAAGCAAAAGAAATAACTGAAATCTGCCAACACATAGGAGCATCATTCAGAATTTAAGTGCAGCATCAAAAATGAAACTGAAAAACTGAAACTGAAACAAACAAAACTGAACTCATTATGCAAATTGGTCTGCTTTAGTTTCCATGCACTGCAATATACTCTTACACAACCACATTTCCTATGTCAAATGCTTTTTTACAAAATATTCCATTTTAATGCATTTGATGGTCACACTCAGAAGCTGAAAAGCTTTCAGTATCATGTATATCCCTGTATTTCAGCCTTGGAACTTGATGTACTCCAAACTCTTCAAGTGCAGCTTTGGACTGTTCATTTCTTGGTCACACTCTGTACAGAGCTTATTGCTACAGCAGAAAAACTGTTTACTTTTACAATTCCTTACAACTCTTCCCAGCCCTCACTGAGGCAAGGAGTATAATATCACCTTATTTACTTATTCATAAGGAAGACCTGAAAAGATTAGGTTCAAAACTGTCTGCTAAATGAGTACCTATCTAAAATGTCAAGGACCTGTTAGCTTGGAATTAGAACATTTATAAAACACTTCAATACTCAAAGACTAGTTTTTACTGGTATCACTGCTCATCACTTTTGAAAATCATACTTGAAAACAGCATGAGTGCATAATTAGTGGAACTGCAATCACACTGAAGTATTTTGCTTGGTATCACAAAGAAGACTATCTAGAAAAATCATCTCATTTTTTTAATCTAAATTCTTCTGTACTCAAAGGAATTATAATTTGCATTGGCCCATCTGGAGGTTTCCTGCAGGTCACATTCCAGATTACTTCACATGAGATGGAATGACCTCTCCAAGAACACTTTGGTGGAACAGCAGCAGGTAAACAGAAATACTGTACTGAATCAAGCCCAAGGGCTTTGGCATCTTCTGCAGTATCCAAAAAGGAACAGCCAAGGAAAAAAAAACCATTGCTGCCTTCTATAGATAGTCTTCCAGACTCCACCTTGTGGAGATTTAGCCAGTAGCGATGTCTATTTTTTAGCTCTGAGTGGATTTCCATCCTATGATAACATCTATAACATCCTGTGGCAAGGGCATCTGTAGCTTAACTGCATACTGTTTGGGAACAAAAAAACAGCCAAACCCCACCCAATATTCTTTGCTGTAGCCACTTCAAGTGGTTTCCAAGAAGTCTTATACTGGAACAGTCAGATGACAGTTAATTCTCTTTAGCTTTTCACAGTGACTTATTGTTTTTGCAGACCATTATAATTTGGGGTTTTTTTGATAGGACTGCAAAATTGAAAGATGAAGCTGTTTAGAACCATTTCTTATCATTGCTAAAAATCAGTTTAAAACTTTTCCAATATGGAAAACTCAAAGCGACTAAAAATGACAGAATGAAGAAGGAAAGTCTTTTCCTACCCATGTTATTTTTCAAGGAGATTCTTATTGCCTTGCTTAGTTGCAGATAAGCATTGCACTGGACTTGAGTCACTCTTCTCTGTCCTTCTAAGTTCCTTCTTGCCACTTTTGAGGCCTCAACTCACATGAATAATCCGTGCTTCTCCGAGCAACTTCTTTGTCTGAGCTGCTACGTTCCAGTTTCACCATGTCTCTCTCACTTCTTGCAGCATTTTCTGAAATTTTCCCTCCCCTTGACTCTGTCGGTTCTTCAACAGAAAGAACCCCTTCTACCTTAGAGTGAATTCCTCTCCTTGTGCTATTACTTCTAAAAGGAAAATGGAAGCTCTTGGTTCTGTAATCAAGAGGAAGAAGATTCTATCTACAATGTCATCCTCTTGGTCAGCTCATTCAGCTTTAAAAGCCCTATTTTGCTCACCTATTTCATACATGTAAGCTCTTGCATGCCTTCAAACATCCTCACTATTCTTTTGCAAATTCTTCCTGTGTTTACCATAACCAATTTAAGTCAGGAGAGACCAGAAATAAAATTATTTCCAGTGAGAGCATGCAATGATTTATACATTTTGACCTCTTTTCTAAGTTGTTCGTCATGCTGTCATTACCACATTTTTACACAGAGCTTTCCAGAGTACCTGATCTTCTTTATGTTATTTGGATAACTTCAAGAATAAATTATTCTTACTTCTGCTTCTCTCCACTATCCTGTTTTCAACTAAGCTGACCTCTCCCAGACCTTTCTGAAAACCTCCTTGAGAGCTGTTGAGTAACAGCTCTTTACTATCAGGTATGAAGATACCCCAAAAGATGTGCTGGTCTGCACATATTTCAGCAATTTGAAGGCCATGACAAATTTTCCCATATTTTCAACCAATATTTGCTAAAGGTTCCTGTACCAATTCTTTCTATGTACAGCTGACTTCAAACTGCAAATACTTATTACATCTACTTAACTTCAAGGTCTCTCCATACACTGTTAGACATACAGAGGAGGCTGATTTTAAAAGAGAGCAAACCTTTCATACAAGTGTAAATGAAAAATCCTCAAAGTGGACCTGCTGAACACGCTCAGTTCTTTGCTGGGGTATTATACTAGGCATAACCACAAGCAGTAAGCAGTGTGCTAAAAAAGATGAAGACACTTATTACACACAAAACATAGTCTGGTATTTAGTTGTATGAAGGTTTAGGATTGCAAAAAAAATAAAAATAAAAAAAAAAGTCTTTCAACAGTTGAAGACTAATAAAAGCAAAGGAAAAAAGTGCTCAAGAAAATTTTTCTTTCTTCATAGAATTCTGCATGTTATGCAGGAGTCTTATTTGTACCTGGATGAAATAATTAATTGTTAAACATTTTTAAGATGAGAAGCTGCATTTTCAGGAAAAAACACCCCAAACAAACAGCATTCCGTTTTGACAAAAAAAAAGAGTAGTGCAACATCCAAAAAGCTACACAAGATACCACATGCAAGAAATATTCACTGGGCAGAACAAAGCATATGAATATGTATTTTTAGAGAGTCATAAAAAATTGAGTATGAAAGCAGACTGACTATCAACAGATACCAAAACCTGATTTGTATCAGCAACAATGAATTGTCATTATGAGGTTTTAGTGTTTCTCACAAAGCCCGCATAATAATGTTCCCTGGCGCATGACAGTATTTCCAAGTTTCAAACACAAGCAGAAAGAGGAGTTAAAGGAAATAAGAGACACTTCAACTGCACTTTTAAAAGCCGATTATTACATTTTAGTCGCATGAAGATAGCAAATCTTGTTCTTCACAAATATGACAGATCATGCTGGATTTGTGTGACAAACAGAGAGGAGCTGGAGACAGGAAGGTAGATCTTACCACTAAGGGTGAAAAATCTCAACTGCTCTGTGACTTTCTGGCCATGGAATCTTGTTAAACAGCTATAAAAGAAACAAACCTTTGGAGGCAAAAAAAAAAAAAAAGACTAAACAAAAAACACAAACCCTCTTAGGAATTATCTCAACCATTTCTAAAGATAACTGAATACATTTTTCAAAATTTTCAAGTAACCTTTTACATATTGTTTCATTAAATGATTTGATTTATTATACCACATTTCTACAAAGATACTAGTTCATCTCATGATCTGTAATTCAGTGAAATCACATGAAAATCATTAAAATGCATTTTTTTTCCTAGGCATACATGCTACTCAAGATTCTGAAACCTGCTCATCTTCCTGTCTCTTGGTTTGTAGCACTCTGAATCTGTTTCTTCTCAGCAGTTGTTTTCCTACTGACAAAAAGATTAACTATGTGAAAAGCAGACCATACAGCAAGATACTCAGCCCACATATTGAGAGCACCTATGTCTAAAAGATGTTGCTGGCCTGCTCACAGTTTGCTTAGATTACTTCACCATTACTTCAGTCCTGCAATCATCCTATGAACATGAGGATAGGAGCCAGTTCATATAAAATGAACTATCTAATCATATCATTTCTTCTGAGGTGCAGCATAAGAAAATCTATCCAGAGAAGGACTACTACAATTGCAATCCAAATTAGATCCAAGTCCAGGTCACTAGTTCTGAATTAAACCTTAGAAGCTTAAGGATGAATAACTGCAGGACTTCAAGTACATTATAATGTAAGCACAGCACACAGTTATATATCATTCATAATTTTCACTGACAACAACCCAGTCTTCCAACCCAGCACAAAGAGCTGAAGTTTTGATTAATACTCAGAATTGTTAGACAAATGTTTTCATAGTAAGTATGATTAATTTTGATTCCTTAAGCTCCACAGCCCTTTTCAATGCCTGTATAATGGAAGTGAGACAGATGACTAAATGACTGCAAATTTATCAACTGACTAACATCAACTTATCTATTTCTTTGCTTATTTTGTGACAACAGATGAACTTTCCACTGTTTATGTGTCCAATGGTAAAATTACAAACATATTCTCCCCCTTTAAAAAGAGCTTTTTTTCATTAGAATTGTCTTTCTTCAGTCTTGGTGAGGAAGTTTATAAAACTGTGAAGCTGCAGCAAAACAAAATATTAAATTGTCACTAACATGACTCAATTTCAAGGCCTTATTTTCATATGATGGAGAAACTGGTAATCTGTGCTATATCTGTGTGCTACTTTCCAACTCTAACACTTGTAACAGTAAGTTAGCAATTCTGATATACTGTAAGAAAAACAGTAACATGTACATTTATATAAGCAAAGCTTAAAATATTTAAAAACTAAAGTCAGGGAGAAAATGTCTGAATGCATGCCACTTTAGAAGGCACTTATTTGTGTACACTGATCAATTGTCTGGTTTAAAAAAAATACAGGAACCTGTCACCACAGTTCATATTACGTTTTGACCTCACATGCTAGCCCTACCAGCTCGAGAGAAAGCAGATATAAACTTCTTAAATTCTAACACCAAAACTTAAAGAAAATAGTTCTATATAGTATCACTTGTGACAACATAGAAGGGTAAGATAGATAATAATGAGAAGCAGCAGCTGTAAGAAATGCATTATACAAAGCAACAGTATATTTCACACAATGGCAATTCATACACATACACAATTAGAAGCTGGGTAAAATGGTTAATTCTGAGTGCACTGATTAAAACAGCTAACTTTATCCCGAAGTGACTGGGTAAACCAATTTCTTCAGAGTTCTCTAAAGTGAATACTTCTCAAACCCAACCATTCTGCTCTTCTAATATCCAGCCCTCTGTGAAACATCTGCAAATTTAAAGCAATGGGAGGCCAATGTAACACCACACAGCTCCACGGAAAAGGCAAAGGGACAGCCAAAACTGCAAGAGAGAACTCAGCGCTCTCCTGCAACCACACCTACCCCCAAAAACTACAGTCAAATGGCGCCTGGGCTAGTAGAAGTCAAGAAGGTTCAGACAAGGGATGATGATCAATGAGGACCTGCAGCTTAACCCGTTTGTCAGCAAGGGCACCTGCTGAGTTGTGACTGAGTTGTGAGGAATCCCCCAAGCTGGCCAGGCGAGCGCTGCCAGAGCACTCGGCCAGAAGGGCAGAGCACTCGATAACCTTCACCCTGCCTGGAGAGGATGACAGGATGCATGACAATTCGCTGAGGGGCTGAGGAACTGCTGGGAAGACAAAACTAACTTCACTTAGTTAGGCTTTTGTCCCAAAGACAAAATTGCCATTCCCTACTCCTTTACTATTAATTTTTGTTTAAATTCAGTGCATTTCATAAGATCGTTTAGAACACAGGTATGGACCACTTGTATCGTACAGCATGACAGCCGCTCCTGTCATCACTACAACTTCCTTTTCCCTCATTTTTAAATGGACATCAAAAAATGTATAAAGAATCCTTTTTATTAAGCTGTATGAAATACATTTTTAAAGCACAATTTGCTGCTAGGAGACTGAAAAATTAAGCTTTCAATTTAGAAGTTACTTATACATAAATTCTTATATATTTATATAAATCTGTAAAACACACAATATTTTATTACAGTTTTTTCTGTTTCCTTTAGAATCTTGAATAAAGATCATTGAACCCATATCCCTGGATGTTCCTATAAATGTTCCTATAAAGAAGGGAAGTAGGAGGGTGGGAAAAAATCCTCTCTACTCAGACTTTTACTTTAATTCAGTGAGGTGTTTTCTTCATATTAAAAAAAAACACCCAACAAACAACAACAACCACCCTCCTAAATCCAAAATAAAATAAACCCACAATAAGAAAAAAAACCCTAACCCCCCAAATAATTTATTTGGGAAACATTCAGAGCATTTTAAATACATAATTTTTCAACTGCTTTTAAAGTAACCTGCAGTGCTTTTCACCTCCTTTCAGTGACTAATAAAGCCCCAAAATACTAATTTCTATCTGCTAAAATTATTCATTACCAAAAAAAAAAAGCCTCTTCAGTATGATTGAAGAAATAAGTATTTTCCAAGGTACATCTGCAAGAATTTTGAGCAAAGTATTTGAAACAAAAAAATTCTACCTATGTGTTGTTTTCAGAAACTTCTATTTCTGTGTATCATATTGAGTTTCTAGCTGAATTCCCACACTTTGAGACTTCAATTATAACAAAAAATATCTGATTCAGCTAACCAGTTAGGAAATAAGTTGTCAAAGGTACGCATTCTAAGAAAGTGGTCTGCTCATGGCAAACACAATGGAGACAGCTTGTTCTTGCACAGCTCTGATATGAGAACTTCATATAGTAATTTTTCAGACACATCTCAGTTTGTGTTCCTACGGCAAGCTTCATCTGTTTAAAACAGTATGTTTTTAGAGATCAGACGTGCAAACCTCAGATATTGTTGCTCTGATTAATTATATTACTCTGATCTCATGCCTAAATGCATAAAAGCGTGATGTTAAGGTACACACTGACCTTACAACTCCCTTGGAATGTGGTGGTAGCAACAGACACTCCATCTAAAATTGAGCAACAGTTATCTCACGTGCCCTTCTCAGATTTCTGAGAGTTTAACATTTATATACAATTTACATAAAAATGCAGATATAAATAGCTATATTTATTTCAGTTTCACTTAACTGAATAAAATATCAATGCTTTTATTACCGGGACCAGCTAGACTGAGTCTGCTGAAGGCCCATCTAGCCCTGTGCCCTGTCTTTAACGCTTGCCAAAACCAAATACCTGGGAATACCTTAGCAACAGAATAAAAATATGGCAAAATACATAATGATAGCTCCATAAACTACAACAGAGCTTTCAACAATTGGGGATTTTCAAAGTCAGAGATGGTGATTTTTTGTTTAAAAGCCTCCAATTAAGTTTCTTTAAAAAAACTGTCCTGAAATTTAAAGTCCATCTATACTTCTAATATTCAAAACATTCATGTGTCAAGGATTTCTGATACTTATTACATATTTTTATTTTTTCTCAGCTCTCTGCCTGCTATTTTGATGCCTCCTCATTCCAAAAGTGTGAGAGAGAAGGTATGTCCTGTGTGGTATTTTGAGAGATCTCTACTGTATTTCTCTTTAATTATCCATTTTCTGTTTTCAAAAATCCTACCTCATTTACTTGTTCTTTATAAGGAAATAGTTCTGTGTATTTGGTTTTCCTTGTTGCTGTGCTCTGGATAATTTTTTTTCTCCTCTACCGTTTTCTGGAAGATAGTAGATCAGTCCCACACAGAATATTCAGGATTTGGACATACAATAGATTTACGAGAGTGGCATGTGACTGTAATCACTTTTTCCCTGCATGTCTTTTTTACTGATACTGAACAGTAGATTTAATCTGTTGTTCCATGCTGGTTTTGTGAGACCATATTCATTCTTAGTCATGAGTGGTTACAGTCATCTTCAGACACTATTATTTTATATGTGAATTTAGTACTGGTATTTCTGCATAACTTCACAGTTACCTACACTGAATTTCAGATGCTATTTTACTGAGAAAGAATCCTGTAAGGATTTTCTGAAATTCTTCATAGGTGGTCCTTGTCTGTATTTTCTTGAATAATTTGGTACCTGGCCATCCCACTACTCACTGCCTTTTCAAATCTCTTATGAGTACATTTGCCAGAATTGTTTCAGCACAAATAGCAGATATTTTTTTATTCACTGTGAAATTCTCTTAACCATTACCTCTCACTATGAACTGACCTACAGTAACCTCAATGGCCACAACTACATCAGTGATCTATTAATCATACTACTAATCCAAGCACTTGTTAAAAAAAGGCTGAACTTCTGGAAGAGGAGCTAGGGAAAATCTAAGCTAGGGAAAGGAAATGTGTGTCATACGGTGCAGTGGCCATAAAATACAGATTGACTTGGGAGAACATGGTTTTGCACTACAGCAGATATTTATCTCTGAAATTTTTAATTAAACCCGTCACCTTAATATGTCAGATCATCTGTATTCACTGAGTGTGGAAACTTGCAGAACATGCAGAATATGAGCATATGTTACTTTCTGCTTCCCGTAGTGTAAAAATAAAATACTTATAGCTGTCTAGAATTTATCTTCCATGTTATTTAGACTTTAAAACATTTGGAATATTAATTTTAAAATATTTAAATTATTAAATATATTTTACTAAGTAAACATGCAACATCTCTTCTGTCAATAAGAAATAAGAGAAGAAAAGGAGACTTGGAAGGCATACCATGAAGTTTGTTTCAAAACAGCTGAGCTGTTTTACTCAACTGTGTGCTGAAACACCTAAAAGAATATAATATGTTGTTCTGCTGATAGGCTCACATGCTTCAACAGAACTGTGCCAGGACATTCCTTACTAAATTAGTGACTAATCAGATGCTGGGCTGGGAAGCACACCCTCACATGTTACAACCACCCAGCCGTCTGCAGCATAAAAAAAAAAATAAAAAAAAACCCGACTACAACTATATGTTCTTGTGTCCCCTATAAATAATTTCCATCATGCGTTTTGTAATCTAATGCTTGCATTTGGCAAACCAGATGCAATTAAAGGTCAAAATATGACTACTATAGAAAGAACCTGACCACTCTACTTCTTCTGATCTTTTGACTATCACCTTTCTAAATATTCTAAGCAAGGATGTCCTCTTCCCTCCATGTCAATAACTAGTATATATTTCTAAATAGCTTGTTTCACTGATCACAAATGTTTCTTGCCTCTTTTTTCAAGTTCTCAAATTAATCAAAATTGATTGCTTCTTTTTCTTACTTATTACCCTCATATTTCCATTATCCTTTAAAAATTGTTTAGAATTTGAAAACTTGACAGAAATTAACTCAATAGGCTGTTGGGAGACAGCCAATATATTGAGCCTATTCTTTTGTTGTTTGTGCAAAACAAACCCTACTCTTCCCAAAAAAATAAATAGCAAAAGCAGCATTTCTGCCTACAGGAAACAGTTAATACAGGCCAGTATTAAAAGAGGATAAAAGCTACTTGTATTTGCAGGAGAAAAACATCTTCTTCACATGTTTAGCATAAGCCATTCCATTTGCTTTTCATGCAGTCTTTAGTGATAATATAAAAATACAGAATATGGTTAAGCTTGCTACCCATTTTTATGGAGTTTTTAATCAATCATCATTAAACTTACATTTAAGAAAAGCCATTCCAAAATGAAACAGTCCAATTTTCTTCTTAATCCTAAAAGGAATATCTCTCTTTAAGGTAACACTGGGGGCTCCCTGAATGCTATAGTTTATAAATACCCTTTAAGATGACAAGTCAAATGACCTCAGGATTGCCAGTTATCTCTCACAGTTGTTCAACTGTTAAAATGGAAAGTGGTAAGAATAGAATAAAAACACAGATGGCAAAAAATATTACATGTGCAATGGAACAAACATGGCACACAGGACACGACCATTATAACATTACCCTTTTTGCTTAAATTTACTCTACCCTTTGAAAAGGTCAGCTTTGTGAACTTCTCTCCTGATGAGCAATTTGAGGTCTGTCATTCCATTCACACTCTTACACTCACCAAAAATGCAGTCATTCTTTACTTATGATGTGTCTGGTACTTGCTGGAACAATATTCTGCTAATTTAGGCACTAATTTGATGTAACCCATCTAATTCTGTAATATGTACATATTAGAATACATAAAAAATGTGGAAAATAGCAATGTTACATTTTCAAGCAAAACAAATCTCTGAGGCAGGCAAACATATCCAGCAGCTCTGTGGCAATTAGACAGGCTGCTTCCACAAGACTAGGCAATAATTACATTTATTTTATGGTGTAAACTACAAATGGTTAGAAAAAGGATTTCAGGTGTATGTCAGACTTCTGGCCTTTTTAGCAAGGCTTGGTACCTTGGTACTCTAAGAAAAGTCCTATTGCCTGTTAACCAATTCAAACTTACAACAATGTGCAGCTAAGGTCTGACTGTCTAGACATCTTACTACATCTGCCTAAGCTCTTTGAAGTGTCTGAACTAGAAGAGATAGCCTTGCTAACTTGGGGAATTGCCCTAGAAAACAGATATCCTTTACAAAGAATTGACTTTTCCCAGTTTATTCTGTCTACAAAGCCTTGGAATACAGTATCTCCACTTGAAAATAAGGAATTCAAGATTGCAGTCCAGTCAGTAGTGCCAGCTCTGCTGTATTGATATGAAGCTACTTCTTGCATAGTCACAACTACAAATTGCAAGACACATGGATTCGAACCAAAAATAAGAAAATCACAGAATACAGAGTACTTGTTAAAAATCTTTTTGGATTAGGGATAAATATTCAGGGTGAGACCTGACAGAAGCAGTGACCAGCTGTTCTGTTCAAAATGATGTGACTGAATCCAAGTCATGTCCTTTCCCTGTTTGAGCCGGCTGGGAAGGCTGTTGCCACCCTTCAAGAGACAGTTCTTGTAACTTGAACCTAGTAAGTTCAACATATGAGTTTTTGGCTGACATTTTGTAAGACTATGTCCAAGCCTCTTGGATCCTTCAAATGGAAGAATCTTTATTTAAGACATGAGGGGTCTTTGTCACTTTCTACCACATACACTCGATTCCAAGTTTCACTTTCTTATTGACAAAGTACTGTCAATCACATCCCTGGACAGGTTTTCCTGTAATGCTGTTTAGGCTGGCAGCCAAATTAAGAGTGTATCCTTCTACACCCTGCTGCTGAAGCATTCTATTTGTAATAACAATTTGTAAATAGAAACAAGTAAAAAAACCCAAACCAAACAAAAACAAAACCCAAAGCAAAGTATTTATAGTGAAAGTGCAGTAATATTCAGAATTGACAACAATATGTAAGTGTGCCTGCCAGTACTGACAATTTCCAAGCAGCTTTGAAAGGAAAATAGCGAAAGAATAACAGATGCTATGGTTAGCATGAAAAAGCTGACCTGCTCAAGAACAGCCAGAAAACAGTTTCATTAGATTCATGTGGTAACCATATATTGCTCCATTAATTAATTTGATACTCTCTGTGGGGATGTTGCACTCCACAACAAGATTAATTGCTTGCTTCACAAGGGGTCTCTGAAAACAGAAAAAGTAATTGGAGATGGATGGTACCAGCACAATTTCTCTGCAGTTTTTCAGATAGATTTTCTCTACAAAGATGTTCACAGGCTTAAGTCAACCCATGAAGATGGGACAGGCAAGTATTTTAAGAGAAGCTGGTAGTTTTCATTGTATGAACAGTGTGGCTCACATCTCAGAAGAGAGTATGGTTTGTTTTCCCTGTAATTAAGATTTTTAAAGCTTTATCTCAGTTGGTAAAAAATACTGGTGTCAATATTGCTGTATAAGTAAGAAATATGGAAGTATTAAAAAGTGAAGGGCACCTCCAAACTCCCTTGCTGAAAGCTGGGAAAACTCGGCAAACAGCAGGGAGCCACACTGTACAAGTCTGCAAATTCAAATGCAGCACCTGCCATCCTGCCATACTTGCTCTTGTCTAAGATGGAAGAGTAGACCTGAGCACTCCTTACTGAGAAAGTGCAAAGCTGAAAAAGGGACAGGTGCCATGGGAGAGGTTCAGAGCAACACTAACTGTTTTACCAATTTTCTCCTTGTGAATCCCTGGTTCATTTCTCCACTCACCTCCCTCTGTACAATTTTCTGTATTTGCTTTATAACTTTCCTTTCAACTCCATCAGCTTTAAGAAGTTAAAGTGCTAGAAAAAAGCTGAACTAAAACAAAAACCCAAATACCTTCAATTCTAAGTATCTTCTACCTAATGTTTGGTTAGTGCTGTGATCAAAATAAACATTCTACCATTACAATAAACACAGTGACAAAAAAAAAAAAGACATGAGAAAGCTGAGATGATGGCAGGCAGCAGTGGAGAGGTTGCAATTTTTCCTCAGTGATGACAATACGGGTGGCACATGACATGCCAGTGAGCATGTCAGAACTGGGTCAGCTCAGAATTAGCAGCTCTTAGGTTGTTCACAATGGGCAAATCCACCTTCCAGTGCTCACAGGCTCACAGACACTTCTAACAGAACTGCATT